AAAGTGGTTTTAGTAACGATAGATCTGCTTGCCCTTTCGTTTTGATGTGCCATATTTGGCTGCAAAAAATCCTGTGTATAGCTGATCTTTGTGGTCGTACGAATCCCTTTCTGTGTATCGTAATCGAACAATGGCTTGGAGGCCATGTGCTCTTTAAGTGCATCGCCTGGCACACCTTTCGGCCAATACTTCCTCTTCTTGATTACAAACATTTCAAAAAGACCAACCAACAGCAGCTCATAAAGTAGCTACAGGATACAAAACCCCGAATGGGACTATCTTGATTTGACATAAAAAAACCCCATTATTTGTTCCAAACGCGAAAATACCTCAAAAATCGGCCAATTTTTAAGGTATTTTGGTGTTTGGACCGGAAATATGGGAAATAACGTAAATAAATCAGTAGCTTCGCACCCCGAATCCATGACAATAACACGGCTTGTATGCTGTATAGATTCAGATAGCCGCATAACAAGAACCCGTCTTGCCAAACTCGTCATAGCGCTATGGTGATGGATGTGGAGTACGTACTTTACCCTCGACTAAATCAAGAGCAAAGACGACATATAATTTGCAGCACGCTATAGTTTAAAATTCATTACCAAAAGACCACGGTTTACGTGGACAGCGGAGACATACTTTCGTCGACACAGCACTTCCAACTAGGCGAGAAGACTCGTTGCATATTCCTGGAGAATGTGAACGATACCGTAGGCTCAAGAGCCACACCCTAATCAAGATCGTGGCCGACACAACTGTCACTCCAGTACCCATCGCAGCACACGTAGTGGAACGCATGAATACCGTAACCCGCAGTACCCAGAGCTCAAGCTACACCACTCATCCACCGATGCCAAGCGAATTCGAATATTCTGGCACGAGTACGGCATTGAAATTGAAGAAATCGAACCTCGGTCCAAAACAGTGGTTCAACAAGCCCCAGTAGTCCAGCCACCACAAGATGGAGTACCCTTCATGGTGACTACAGACGCATCCAACATGGCGTCGGGAGGTATTCTGTATCGAATGATTGACAGGAAACCGAGATACGTGCAGTACTTTAGCAGAGCTATGAACTCGTCACAAAACAATTTTCCGACTATGCAGCAAGAGCTATTAGCTATTGTGACCGTACTCACTCGTTTTAAGGATTACTTATACGGTACACATTTTAATGTACTGTGTGATCAGAAATTGTTGCAATATTTAAAAGATATGAAACCAAATTCACAATTGGTCAGTCAATGGCACGATACGATCGCAAAGTTTTCTTTTAGTATTACACATATACCGGGTATACACAATCACTTACCGGATATACTGTCACGCTTCGTACCGGATTTCAACAAGGTGGTTCGGGAATTGCTAGCTACGGATTGGAAGGCCAATCCTAGGTGGTTTAAAATTGCAGACAACATACATGGACCACATTCCATCGATATTTTTTTTGCAGCACATCACAATGCACATATGCCGCTATACCGTACTCTGGAACACCCAGACGGTGATGGGTTTTAAATCGATTTATCCGATGAGAACGCATGAGCGAATCGACCGTGGTTGTTGATACCACAGTTGCTAAATTATGTTCATTTACAAGATGCTACCATCACTCATTCAGATAAATGGCCACCACAGTTGATATCGATGATACAATGTGAGCCCATATATGTGGATAGAGAGGTAGATACTGTCCTCTACCAGGGTACCCGTGCAGTCCAGAAGACTCCTTGGCGACATACGATAATATGTCGAATAGGTCGAGTTGGTACAACCAAATGGACACCATTCGTCACCTTCAAACATAAAGTCGACGAATCCAAGATTCCACTCTTGACACCTAAGTTTCAACGAGAGGCTGGGGCGACACACGCACCTGCAGTATGCGTTACTTAGGTACAAGCTGATCATAAGGATGCAAAGAGGAACTCATCACTATCGAAGGCATTTTACAAAAAGATATGTCCTGATAAAGAAACTACATACGAAGCCGAGACTAGGCTACTCAAACAGTTCATGAATAACTATCCAGATGTATACGACCATGTATCTCAACCAATGAACAAAGAGAACAATAGTAGAATTCACACGGCCGATCTTTCAGGCGAGATTGGACGAGGCGAGTTTTCGAGTCCGGGTGATGAAGTAGTAGAATCCTCACTTCCAGATTTTGATATAGCAAGATCAACGGAGGGTGACATTCTAAAGTGGTTAAGGCAGAATCATGCACTTGAACACATGGATAAGGTTAGGACTGAGAAAGATTGCAAGAGGTACGGGATTGTACACCCAAAGCTCAAGCAATATATATCTCAGGTGTATCACGAATTTAACGATTGCGAAGTTAACCGGATCAAGCGCTATGAATATGCCCCATTGCGGAGTGTATCAGAAAACGAGCCATGTCGCAGGGCTATCATTGATTTGGTTGAGCTACCCACGTCCGAACACATGAAAGATAAATATGTCTGCCACGTTTTTGATGTCGCTTCAAGATATAATGTATTATATCCTTTGAAAGACAAATCAACACAAACGGTGGCTGAGTGCATTTATAAGTGTTTCGTAGATTTCGGCTGGCCAGCTTTAGTACGTACCGATAACGGTAGTGAGTTTACAGGAGACGTCATGACGACGCTGTTACTCGTTCCGGGATCATGCCACAAAATGGGTGTACCTTATAAGCCTCAGACACAAGGTGCAAATGAAGTGCGACACAGAAAGATAAAGGAGTTCATGCGTGGAGCGTTGCTAGACGATGCTGACTTGTAGCCATACTTAATTAACTGGGTACAGACACACATGAACGAGACACCGGATTCAGTCACTGGTACAACACCCGCCCACTATTTCAGGGGCCGTTATAGTGGATTAGAAATACCTTTCAACAAGGATTCTCAAGATCATGTGTTACTATGGTTAGAGAAGATGCGTCGTACCTTTCCTTGTTTGAGAGAGATGAAGGACATCGCACTCAAGAAGAGACAAAGCGATGGAATGATTCAAAAATAAATAAATAGTCGAGTTTGAGGTAGGCGATATAGTCAACATTATGGCTCGCAACTCCGATACAACTGTGCTTACGGCTAAATACATTAGATCATTCAAGATTTCAGTAGCCGATAAGAAGAGCGGAATTTACGAAGTCAACAATGTTGACGGGTCAAGTGCTCTTAATATCGGATCCCATCGAATTCCAACGACGAAAATCATCCTTCGTCGCACACGTGAAGCTACTACACCTTGTATGTTTTATGAGTTTAAGAAAATTCTGGGGAAATACAAACATGAGGATATCACTTACTACACTACGGAGTTTGCAGATGGCGTACAATACGATCTACCTCCATCGTCATTCGATGATCTTGATGTATTGAAAGCTTTTAATAAGAAGTTTCGTAAGCGTCTACATAAGAACAAGGTAGACACCGACGCGATCTTACTTACAAACAATCGTCCGGAAGTAGTCAAGTTTTATCCCCAGACATCATTCATTCCAAGTTCCTAAGAACATGGAATGTATGTACCTCCGAAAGGCACTAAGAACCGTTCCATTCACCATCGGGGACCTTAAGGACCTAAACCCGAACGTAATAGAATAACCAGGTAACTTATAAAGTCTAAGTATACTTTGTCTAAGAGAGTATAATATGAGCATTGAGGCCATTTTATATGATCGAAACCCGTTTCTTCTTTTCGCTTGTACAATTCATGTGAGATATTTGAGTCTATGTGCTTCAAAACACATATAAGCCAACATTGGAATTTTCAAGCTGGAAGGGGGGGGGGGGGGGGGGGGGGTGCGGTGTAAAATCAGCGGGTTCCTATCGTAGAAGCACATGTTAACGTATATTATAAATGTAA